GATGTGGCCGTTGTTGTCGGTAAAATACCAATGTTAAGCTAAAAAATTGCATATGGAACATTTTGCAAACAGGTTATACCGCACCACCTAAATAGGTACCAGCCAACTTTTATAACTGTTATAGCCCAGGCACGTGTTTTGTCTATATTTTTGCTGCTGCATGCTATAGCAATGAGAGGTTCGGCTCCTCAGTGGTCTCCCCCCTGGCTGCTGTATCATGCAGCAGCAGAAACATCAGTAAAACACGTGTCTGGGCTTTTAGCTGATACTAACGTTGGGAGAACGGTAAAACGTCTTTGTCATATGATATTTATACTACTTGTAGTACTACTTGTTTGTGTAATGGACATTCGCTGGTTATTCCACAGAGCTTGATTTTCTTCGGCTCAAATGTCCATATAACTTTCGGTTCTGACCCCAAAAATTAATGTTCCGGTAACTTACCTCCTAGTCATGCACTTAATGATTTCCAAAATTATTTCCCTGCCAAGAAGTTGTTTTTATTATGTTGGGTTGACCAGTTTAGGAACGTTAACATCATTTTATCTCGGATATCTGTGCGGATTGACTGTGGAAGTTGATCATAAGTGTCATTTATAACAGAGTTTTCTCTACCTGGCATATCTGCAAGCGGTAAGGTACCATTACTACTTAATTAGGTGACATCACAACTATCGTGAAGTTTAGTAACGAGACAGGTACTACAGGTCAAGCAATAGTGAGATGTTAACGTTGGACAACACTATATATTTTTGAAAAGCAGACATCACTTACTTCCTCCATATGCTGAGTGACTTTCGTTATAAAACTCAGTCTCAAAAAAACTCGTCTCAAAAAGAAAACAACTTTCGTTGTTGAGTTAGATACGTTTCTATTCTCCACAGACCGAAAAATCTGGATAGTTGAGAAGATGTGAATGAGAGCGTGTCATATTCGCAGCAAATTAAATTATTAACAAAAATGCATAAAACAACGAACGCATTGGTATAGTTACGATGAGCCTGTTCACCCGGAAGCAGATGTTTATAGGGTTTGAGATAGACATCATGATCCCTTTGTTCCTCTTTAAGGATATCGATCCGTCTTTTGTCGGGGTTCAGCAAAGGTTTGATTTTTTCACCTAGAATAGCAAACATTCCGAGTAAATAAACGCAAATCTCAAAAGAAAACAAGCATATGCAGATGAGTTAGTGTTCTGGGTGCTCACTTCTGTCTAGAAGAACACCAAGTGTCGTGTTTATTGGATCGATAAAGTCTGGAAGATTGGGTTTCGGAAACTTTCCCAGAGGTTTCTTCTTTGAACTCTCATATATCGCTTCCTTTTGATTTAGTATAAGATATTTCAAGGGCGTAAGCTCTTTGGGGTGCAGTGAATGCTGCGCGCCAATACTAAAATAGCCAGAAACACATCATCAGTATTAATTTAAAAGAAAATGTTTCCTTTTAAGAAGCAGGCTGGGAAAGTGAGACAGCCAAAAGAACTTAAGTTGGTGATGAGTTAATGGACTCAAGAGAAGATGCTGAACATAAAACATAGTACTGCAAAAGTAAGGGTCCCTGCAACACTTCTCACGATCCCCATCTTTTGAGCATTGTATTTATTTTAGTTGTTGCGCTCCTGCCTCATCTAGCTGGTCTCTAATATGCGTCGTATTGTATTTCCCTACGCGTCACGATCCGTGACAGCAGACCCAGAGGGTTCAATCCGTTCTCTTTGCCAATGCTGGAGGCCGAAAACTGAAGGTCCAAGAGCCACTTCCATTTCCCGACGAACTGAGTCGAGCCAGGTTTTCAGCTGACCGATTGAGTAACTGTGTGAAGTTGACGACACATAATGTGTCCAAAAAACCTCAGGCGTCTTTCTTGGATAGCCTGGGATATCCTGGCGATATTGTCGCAGCGAGAGCGGAGTGTCACATTTGAGATTGAGTGGGTGTACATCACTGGAAGCAGTAGTGGTCAAATTCATCCAGTTCTCTTTCATCTTTCATGCATATATCCCGGCATTCAAGGCCGTAGAGAAGGAAAAAAACGGAATAAAAGCGTGGTACATGCGAATCTTCGTGGCAATGGAACTATCGCGTCGGATACAAAAACACTTTCAAAGGCTTGAGAAACTCAAGAAGCTGCATCGATTCAGGAGATACTGTCATCCTTGCTCTGTCCATTCAGCAAAAACATCGTTCCAAAGAATTTAAAACTGTCTGCCTCTTAAAACTGACAGCCGTTTATCTCGAGAGGTGCCTTCTGTTGGGCAGGAGTGCAGCATGAAGACACTTTAGTTTTTCCAGCATTTATGGAACCACCGACCGAATTATCGGCCACTTTTGTCGGTGACACAATGGACTTTAGATCACCAAAGCTTGTAGCTAGTAAAGCAATATCTTTGGTATAGTCGGGACCAGCAAGCCAGCGTCCGGGTGTAAGCTCAACACCGCCCTCTTCACTAAGGCCTTCCCGACAGTTCCCCCGTCGGTTTCGACGATGGGCAACTAAGGCTTTCCCAGGAATCCAGTCAATGACGTAGTTGAATAGAATGGGCGACAACCTTGTCGAACACCCGAACAAATGTCAAATGGCTCTAAGAGGTGGTTTTGAAACAGAACCCGCGCAGTGGTGAAACGGTAGAATATCTTGATTCTGGCGATGAGTTTAGCAGTACACCATCCAATGCCACTATCCTCCATCGAGATTTAAGATGGACGTAATCGAATGCAGTGGCAGACGCAACAAAGCAAACGGTCGTTTGTTGTTGGTAGCTATGGCGGAATTAAAGGATGCATCTCATTCTGAATGTTTGGACCGCACATTAACACCCAGCGCGGAATCCGACTTGGTTAGGCCGCATCCTAGAGGCATGCACAGAGTGGAATTGTCGGGGAAGAACAATAGCGAAGATTTTCGCAGCGATTTCGACAAAAATTATGCCACGGTAGTTATTGCAGCTTTTTTATTTCCCTTCTTGTATACAGGTGCAAGAGGCCTGAGCCTTAGTTCTCAGAAACGGCCTGTTGTGAGAGGGCAATCGCCAGACAACGT